ATCATTGGCCCGGACATCGACGGCGACGAAAGACACAAGGGAGAGTATGGCGAGACGTTTCCGGGCAATGAGGACGATCGTGTCCTCGTCTCATTTGCGAGGAGTAGCGTCCAAGACCCCCCTCAGTCGGCAGTGTACCACATTCTCTCGCTCTGTCGAGCTTATAACGCAGACGCCGTTCGGACGCAACGCACGATCTTCATCTGAGACGGCTAGCACTCTAATATAAAATTCAAATAATGCACCTAAATCCTGTAATATAGTCCGTTGGATTCTCCCCGGGCGACAAACTGGAAAGCTATTGACTCACAAGTTTTGAGCTGGCATAGACAAAATAGTGTCACATTGTCGCATTGGCAGATAGGGTCACATAAGATCCCTCCTTACTCTCATCCACTCCATGAGGCAAACGCAGCAATCCACCGTGCTTCCGGGAGCTTCGTCCAAGGATGCCCCGCAACCCCACAAAAGGTATCCGTGAAACAATGGCTCCTGACATCAGCGCTGATATATCTCATGTTCCAGGCGGACCAGGCGTGCTGGATCTTTGGCCCGACAGGCCAAGCGCCAGGACAGGTATTTCAGCAAGGATGGCCCCTACGAAAAAGGACAGAAAAAGATCGAGTCTTTCACAGGTGAGTCTTGCTGGACACATTTTGGAAGATTGATCTTACTGAATTCTCAGAGATATTCCACGCAAATGTTAAGTACCCAGATGAATTCTTGCCCTTCGAAAAAGGCTCGAAGCTCGTCCGAGCGTTTGCACGGAAACTATGGCCCACATTGCCCGCCGATCTACCCAATGTCACGAACGACGACCGCAAGACAGTCTTCATCACTGTCGCCAACGTCACTCAGGAGGATCGGGCGCGCATGGGGCCTGGGGGGGCCGCACCCTGGCTGCGTAAGTCCCTTCCCAAGCACGAAGTCCTGGCTTTGGAGGAAGACGGCGATCCAGAGTATCTGGTCATTCGCTGGGCCCACGTCATTTCTGGCAAGACCTTGGCCATCCTAATGACCGACTGGGAGGCAGTCAGAACGCTAGTCCAGCTGATTGGCAGTGGAGATCACAGGCGATCAAGTACACGGGCGCTTCATCTGGGCATATGGGAGCTCTTCGGCTCTCTGCCACGCCTGACGGCGGACTCGATATCTGACGACCCGCGGGTCGTTGCTGCCATTGACGCGTTGTGCGGCCACATTGGGAGCCTCGTTGTCCCTCTACTAAAAAGCCTTGTGGACTGGCACATTCCCCAGCATGCCCGCGTGCAGGAGCGGTATCTAGTCTCACATTCGTTGTCACTGCCCTCACTAATAAAGGCACCCTTCCAGCATCCACCGCCGAGTCTTGTTTTTCTTAAGTGAAGATCTTGCTTTGCGCCCGTCGCTTGACTTTGGAGGGCTGTTCTTCACCATCGCGGTCAAGGAGGGGAACAGTGAGATCATCCACATCGACTGGAATGATAACATGCACAAGTTCGCCCTCATCTTCTGCGCCGGCGACTACCAAGGCGGGGAGTTTTGCGTCCCACAGCTGGGCGTGCGAGTGCCGTTGCGTCCCGGATCTGTTATCGCTGCGAGGACAAGACTCTTAGCTCACTGTAGCGCACCCCTATCAGGCAGAAGATTGGTCTTTACTTGCTTCACAGATAGCACACTGCTGGAACACACACTGAAAGGGGCTCCTTTCATGATTTTAAAGTAATATATATACCATGCCGTAGTCGTTACAATGGAAGACACATCCACCTCCGTGCATTCCCTTTAATTTCAAAGCTCAGCGATACTCCCATTCTCCAATACACTTGTTGCTAAGTTAAGTAGGCGTAATTTGTCTCATTATCGTCGTTTAGTAACCAGCATCATGAATTCCGATCGGTACATCCGAAAAATATCAGTCTTACACTGATTGCTAATGTCTCGAGCTCTCACAGCAGTCGTGTTGCTCTACATATTCGGCGCACTCTGCAACTCTACCTGGCGTATCCCACTGGACCCTTAAGTCTCAAGGACCCTGAAGTGCTCTTATAACTTGGGAGATCTTGTGCCCATACAAACAGCCTTAAAGAGCGCGGCGATGGCGACGGCGACAGGTTCATAAGCCTTGAATCGCCGCACGGGCGTCGAGGGGGGATGCACAGGCTGCTGTAGGCGTTAGATGAAGGGATTTGAGAATAAAATTAAGACAAAAAGGCTGACCTTGTGACGAGGTGAGAGCAAGGCGGCGATGGTGACGAGGCCGCAAGTCTTGCCGCACGGGCGTCGAGAGGGAATGCACAGGCTGCTGTAGGTGCATTAGATGGAGGGAGTGGAGGAAGAAATAAGGCCTCACCTTGTCCGAGTCAGCGTATCGTGCCAAGAGCACGGCGACGGCGACGAGGCCAGAAGGCTGGAATCGCCAAACGGGCGTCGAGACGGGGATCCACGCGGTGCTGTAGGTGCGTTACATGGAGTGCCTGAGGTAAAAATGAATAAAAAAAGCCTCACCTTGTCCAAGTCGGCGTAGCGTGGCAAGAGCAAGGCGACGGCGACGGCGACGGGTTCAAAAGTCTTGAATCGCGGGGCGGGCGGCGAGAAGGGATGCACGCGCAGCTGTAGGTGCGTTAGATGGAGTGACTGAAGCAAAAATTGGATACGAAAAGGCTCACCTCCTCCAAGTCTGTGTATCGTGCCAAGAGCAAGGCGACGGCGACGGCGACGGGAGCCGAAGTCCTGAATCGCCTCACGGGCGTCGAGGGGGGATGCACAGGCTGCTGTAGGTGCATTAGATGGAGGGATTAAAGAAAAAAAGAAGCTGGCGAGACTGACCTGGTTAACTCGGCGTATCATGGAAAGAGCAAGGCGACGGCGACGGCGACGGGAGCCGAAGTCTTGAATCGCCACACATGCGTCGAGGGGGGATGGGCGCGCTGCTGTAGGCGCGTTAGAAAAAGGGATTGAAGTAAAATATGAAGACGACGTGACAGACCTTTTTAACTCGGCGTATCATCGGAAGAGCAAGGCGACGGCGACGGCGACAGGTTCAGAAATCTTGAATCGCCTCACGGGCGTCGAGGGGGGATGCACAGGCTGCTGTAGGTGCATTAGATGGAGGGATTAAAGAAAAAAATGAAGCTGGCGAGACTGACCTGGTTAACTCGGCGTATCATGGAAAGAGCAAGGCGACCGCGACCGCGACGGGTTCAGAAGTCATGAATCGCCTCACGGGCGTCGAAGGGTGATGTACGCGCTGCTGTAGGTGCGTTAGAAAAAGGGATTGAAGTAAAAAATGAGGACGACGAGACTGACCTTGTCGAGTGGGCGGCTATCGGCAAGAGGAAGGCGACGGCGACGGCGACAGGTTCAGAACTCCTGAATCGCCTCACGGGCGGCAAGGGGGGATGCGCGCGCTGCTGTAGGTGCGTTGGAAAAAGGGGTTGAAGTCAAATATGAGGACGACGAGACTGACCTTGTCGAGTCGGCGGATATCGGCAAGAACAAGGCGACGGCGACGGCGACGGGTTCAAAAGTCTTGAATCGCGGGGCGGGCGGCGAGAAGGGATGCACGCGCAGCTGTAGGCGCGTTAGATGGAGTGACTGAAGTAAAAATGAATACAAAAACGCTTACCTTGTCCAAGTCGGCGTATCGTGGCAAGAGCACGGCGACGGCGGCGACGACGAATTCAAAAAGTCTTGAATCGCCTCACGGGCGTCGAGGGGGGGATGCCCGCGCTGCTGTAGGTGCGTTAGAAAAAGGGATTGAAGTCAAATATGAGGACGAGGAGACTGACCTTGTCGAGTCGGCGGATATCGGCAAGAACAAGGCGACGACGGCGACGAGTTCAAGAGTCTTGAATCGCGGGGCGGGCGGCGAGAAGGGATGCACGCGCAGCTGTAGGCGCGTTAGATGGAGTGACTGAAGTAAAAATGAATACAAAAACGCTTACCTTGTCCAAGTCGGCGTATCTTGCCAAGAGTAAGGCGACGGCGACGGCGACGAGTTCAAAAAGTCTTGAATCGCCGCACGGGCGTCGAGGGGGGATGCACAGGCTGCTGTAGGCGCGTTAGAAAAAGGGGTTGAAGAAAAAAAATGAAGACGACGAGACTGAAGTGGTTAACTTGGCGTATCATCGAAAGAGGAAGGCGAACGACGCTTCGGGACAACGGTGGAGGCCGCCACGCACTCGATGTCGAGCACGCAGCGACCAAGCCCACGCGCCGCCATGCCCCCGAAGCCGGGGTCACAACGACGCTTCGGGACAACGGTGCAAGCCGCCACGCACTCGATGCCGAGCACGCAGCGACCAAACCCGCGTCGACATGCCCCCGAAGCCGGGGACACAACGACGCCTTGCTTGACTCACAGTGGATCTTGAGGGAAAGGGTTAGACTAGAGAAAGAGAGTAAGAATGGTCGTAACTTACCTTGCAGGGAGGTGGTGGGAAGAGAGTTGCGTGGGTTTATCGTCGATACCCCTGCCAAACAAACCCACATCGGAGAATTCCGTCTCGCTGGGGCGTCATCTCTCCAACCGAATTAGGCACGGGCGTCTAATTCTGTTCGTTCCATCCCCGACCGCAAGTGGACAGTCGAAGTCCTCCACAGCAAATTATAGCTCATAGATAGGTGATTTGTTCCACTCATTCATTCGTGGCATTCCTCTTCGTACCATCGCGTGCAGAATCCGTGTACATATTCACGCATTATATCAATAAATACAGGCGGGGAGCAGGACATGTCACATCCGTGTCCCTTTGTGAGGAGCTGGTGAAGGCCTTCTCGCTCGACAAAGAGCAACCCCTTCTAGACCTGGTATCCTCCCCCCTCCCTCCATTTCGAACTGAATACAGCATCTCGCATCTTCATGTCTTGCAAAACCCCGGCACGGAGAGGGTGCGAGAGGGCTTCTCGCAACGTCCAAGTGTGCCACGCCCGTTAGACTCAAGCAAACAATGTTCAAACCCGATTGAATGTAAGTCTGTACCAGAGGATAATACATCCATCAATCATGAAGTAGATATGGCCTGGTGGTGTACGGGTATCACACGCGCTATCGATTTGAAGAAGGTCAGCGGAGGGTCCCGTTCGATTCGGGGTTGGGCCATCCTAGTGAATGAAAAGAATTTTTTCATCATGCTTGGCTTAAATTTTGGTGATTATAGTTCTGCCTTTCATTGATTTCTCAAAAGGGAGCTCCCTTATTTCTTCTGGTCCACAGTGGCGAAGCGGTGTTGAATGCAAAAAAATTCAAGTGGCCAGTCTAACATGTGAATTATGGCAGTAGCTATATGTCAGTCTTCCTCTTCGCTGTCTTCAGGCAGATCCCCATTGCTCTCCGCCTCCTTCCACGTATTTCCGTCCCAATCAGAGCGCCAATTGCCTTCGGAATCACCATTAGATAGGGCATACACTTACCACAAAGAAAACCCACCGATACGTATCATCGTCATCATCTGGCATTTGCGGCGCCATGAGGTGAGGATGTCCATGTATTCCCAACCATAATACCCGGCGTCCGCATCCGTCCGATCAAGTCCACACTCGAACGTCTCTAAATGATGCAGTCCACCTTGCATACCGTTCGGAATATTGATTTCAAACTCGGCCTGTTAAAAAGATATCAGTTGGACGTGCGTATTCGGTCATTTCCACCCACATTCCAGCCTCCAACGAGAATGGAGAGATGTCGAAGTTCGATGAATCGGCCTTGAAGTACGCGCCCAACATCTTTTGCGACACACACAATCTCGCCCTCGGAAGCACCATGAAAGTTGAGCCCAAATGTCAAGTGACGCACTGTCAAAGACCACTCTGGGCTATAGAGAATTGAGAAACCTCCAACCAGAATTAACTCGATAGGAGTGATATAGCGGACGGACCGAATCTACCTACCGTCGTCGAAGTGCTGTAACGACAGCTGTTCGCGCGCCACTGCACTTGATATCGTGGACTCTTGGAGGGAGTGGAATATGGAAAGCGGCGCCTCCAATTCGGATAGATGTGGAAGCGAAATCAACTTGCTATCTGTGTGAGACGGTAAAGGCCCCGAATCCATCGCCACTCGGATCCGGACGATACGCAGCGCTCGATGAGCCCGAAGAAAGGTTGGAACCCAACCACGTTCTTTGTCATGACACTCCCCCGGCTGAACCATGCAGGAAAACTCCACCAGGCAAGGGAACAAGAATTTGATACTACAATAACTTGTCAGTTGCGACGCAACAGTAAGACAAAGTGCTTACCTTTCAAGAGCCGCAGCAGAGCCGTGAATGTAAAGGGAATGGATCCACGGAAAGGGCGACGTTGCTAAACGTGTGGCGAGCTGCTGGACCTTGGAACGATGGATTCGGATACGGCGGAACAGGAGAGGAGCTACGGAACGGTGTATCCACCGGCACGTAAGAGCCAAGGCCTTCACATCATTGAGACTAGGGGTCAGGGAAGCAAGTTCGAGCAGGAGCTCAGCAGCCAGAGTCTGCAACATGACAAAACGATAGTTCTAATAGCCGCCGCTGTTGCCATCAAACCTCTACCTCGTATCGGATTCGGACTCGCAGGACCACAATCTCATAGCCTTCCACTTCTTCCTAGCCTTCGCCGGCACTCTGTTTCCTTCACACAATCCAACTGTATACATTTGGCAGGTGTAAGACATCCCGCGCCATGAGATTTCATAAATTTCCCCAAGCCGTGCCCACGGAAGGGGTCAGCTCATCTACGGTGAGCGAGTTCCAAGGTAGTCCAGTACATTACATAGAGACAAATGTATGATAGACTACAACTGGGCACGTTCCGAAACGGGACCCCGTCGAGCTTCAATAGTATCCTGAGTCTTATCCTCTATCAGGCCAACCGTTCGCCACATTCAGTTCTCGGATGTGTGTTCTTTCGTATGTGAACAGCCATTGTCCATCATTTTAGGCCAGACGATCGAACTGGTCCCAACTGCAAGCCTCCATTCATCGGGACCTTTGGTCGGTCTTCGGCATAGAAAACTTCCTTCCATATCATGGATCCTCCGCCTGACACATATGCAGTCTTTTAAAACCCACTGCAATGCGTACTTTTGCCATGGCAGCCAGCCCAGTCAGCCCAGGATCGCACCGGTGGTCCCAGTTCTCCGACCTTCCCCGCGCTGCTGTAGGTACGTTAAAAGAAAAGATTGAAGTAAAGAATACGACGAGACTGACCTTGCTAACTAGGCGTATCATCGGAAGAGGAAGGCGACACGACCGCGACGAGGCCACAAGTCTTGAATCGCCGCACGGGCGTCGAGGGGGGATGCACAGGCTGCTGTAGGTGCATTAGATGGAGGGATTAAAGAAAAAATGAAGCTAGCGAGACTGACCTGGTTAACTCGGCGTATCATGGAAAGAGCAAGGCGACGGCGACGGCGACAGGTTCAGAAGTCTTGAATCGTCACACATGCGTCGAGGGGGGATGCGCGCGCTGCTGTAGGTGCGTTAGAAAAAGGGATTGAAGTCAAAAATGAGGACGAGGAGACAGACCTTGTCGAGTCGGCGGATATCGGCAAGAACAAGGCGACGACGGCGACGAGTTCAAGAGTCTTGAATCGCGGGGCGGGCGGCGAGAAGGGATGCACGCGCAGCTGTAGGCGCATTAGATGGAGTGACTGAAGTAAAAATGAATACAAAAACGCTTACCTTGTCCAAGTCGGCGTATCGTGGTAAGAGCACGGCGACGGCGGCGACGACAGGTTCAGAACTCCTGAATCGCCTCACGGGCGTCGAGGGGAGATGCACAGGCGGCTGTAGGCGCGTTAGAAAAAGGGATTGAAGTAAAAAATGAGGACGACGAGACTGACCTTGTCGAGTCGGCGGATATCGGCAAGAACAAGGCGACGGGTTCAAAAGTCTTGAATCGCCTCACGGGCGTCGAGGGGGGATGCCCGCGCTGCTGTAGGTGCATTAGAAAAAGGGATTTAAGTCAAATATGAGGACGACGAGACTGACCTTGTCGAGTCGGCGGATATCGGCAAGAACAAGGCGACGGCGACGGCGACGGGTTCAAAACTCTTGAATCGCGGGGCGGGCGGCGAGAAGGGATGCACGCGCAGCTGTAGGCGCGTTAGATGGAGTGACTGGAGTAAAAATGAATACAAAAACGCCTACCTTGTCCAAGTCGGCGTATCGTGGCAAGAGCACGGCGACGGCGGCGGCGACAGGTTCAGAAGTCTGGAATCGCCGCACGGGCGTCGGGGGGGAATGCACAGGCGGCTGTAGGCGCGTTAGAAAAAGGGATTGAAGTCAAAAACGAAGACGACGAGACAGACCTTGTTAACTCGGCGTATCATCGAAAGAGCAAGGCGACGGCGACGGCGACGATTTCAAAAGTCCTGAATCGCGGGGCAGGCGGCGAGGGGGAGATCCACTTGCTGCTGTAGGTGCATTAGATGGGGTGATTGAAGTAAAAACGAAGACGACGAGACAGACCTTGTTAACTCGGCGTATCATGGAAAGAGCAAGGCGACGGCGACGGCGACAGGTTCAGAAGTCTTGAATCGCCGCACGGGCGTCGGGCGGGATGCACAGGCTGCTGTAGGTGCATTAGATGGAGGGATTAAAGAAAAAAATGAAGCTGGCGAGACTGACCTGGTTAACTCGGCGTATCATCGAAAGAGCAAGGCGACCGCGACCGCGACGAAGCCCTAAATCGCCACACATGCGTCGAGGGGGGATGCGCGCGCTGCTGTAGGTGCGTTAGAAAAAGGGATTGAAGTGTATACAAAAGCCTTACCTTGTCGATGTCGGCGTATCGAGGTAAAGCAAAGCATGGGTCCCTCTGTTGTCCACCCGCAAGCGACTGAGCCGGCAGTGGCCTCTGGACACTGCTTCGGGACAACGGTGGAAGCCGCCACGCACTCGATGCCGAGCACGCAGCGACCAAAACCCGCGCCGCCATGCCCCCGAAGCCGGGGACACAACGACGCTTCGGGACAACGGTGGAGGCCGCCACGCACTCGGTGCCGAGCACGCAGCGACCAAACCCGCGTCGACATGCCCCCGAAGCCGGGGACACAACGACGCTTTGGTACAACGTTGGAGGCCGCCACGCACTCGATGCCGAGCACGCAGCGACCAAACCCACGCGCCGCCATGCCCCCGAAGCCGGGGTCACAACGACGCCTTGCTTGACTCAGAGTGGATCTTGAGGGAACGAGTTAGACTAGAGAAAGAGAGTAAGAATGGTCGTAACTTACCTTGCAGGGAGGTGGTGGGAAGAGAGTTGCGTGGGTTTGTCGTCGATACCCCTGCCAAACAAACCCACATCGGAGAATTCCGTCTCGCTGGGGCGTCATCTCACCAACCGAATTAGGCACGGGCGTCTAATTCTGTTCGTTCCATCCCCGACCGCAAGTGGACAGTCGAAGTCCTCCACAGCAAATTATAGCTCATAGATAGGTGATTTGTTCCACTCATTCATTCGTGGCATTCCTCTTCGTACCATCGCGTGCAGAATCCGTGTATTCACGCATTATATCAATAAATACAGGCGGGGAACGAATACGATAGGCGAACAAGTACGAATACGCGACGGCCCGACACAGACTATCTTCCGTGGGCCTTTTTTTTATGCACGTCTATGAGCCACTAGACCCCCTTGCGCGCATTGTCCATGTTATCGCGGATTTCAATGAACTCCCTCAAAGGGGCGGTGCTAGCGCGGTAGCCCCCGATGCTCTGCTGCATGGTGTCCATGTCGGCTAATTGATGTTCTAGCAACCAGCGGCAAGTCTGGTAATCGCTTTCCAGCTGGGGTGAGCGTACATCGAGGCTCTTCAGCCAGTAGTACGTCTTGCGAAGTTTCGCCACAGCCGAACGGATGTTCTTGAAGGTTATTGGTTTGATCGCTCCCGGGACTCGTTCCTTGATCCAACTCAATACAGCGAGGTGGTTGTAGTTAACGCCGTTGCGCATAAAACCCTCGATAATCCCGTGCTCGGGCCACATCATGCCAAGCCGCGTGCACAGCGCCCTGAGGTGCCGCTCCAAGAGGCAGTGCTGGTAGACTGTGCCATAGCCGTTCCCATAGAGCCTTCGGAACGCCGCCAACTCGGTCGAATAGTTCTGGTCGAGGAAAGCG